CCAAGCCCACCCGTCCCCAGGTCCCGGGGCACCACTGTCCATTCCCTACACTGCCCCCTCCACACCCGCCTGGCTCCTGCTCCTTCATTCCTGGGGCGTCTGCTCAGAAGTCACCTCTCTCTCGAGGAGGCCTCCCACCTTCTCTGAGCCCCCGGAACCCTCCCGGTGGCTGCGATTCCCCCCCCCTCGCCTGCGAGCTCACTTACGGGGTCACCACCGTCCCCCCTGCCCTGGCACCCATTTCCTTCCTTCTAGTCACCTTGGATTTTGTGGTGGGGATAGGGCAGGTTTGACTTGATCTAAATTAGAAACTTGGGTGCATCAAAGGGCGCCATCAAGAGAGTGAGGGGACAGCCCACAGGGAGGGAGACGGGCACGGGTCTAGGGCCCCGAATATAAAACGTGTCGTTACCACTCAGCAACCCCACAGACAAGCGCCCCAGAGTAGAGAGCGGGCAGAGAGCGGACGCCTCCCCGGAGACGAGGTGCTAGCCGCCCAGTGAGCGCACATGCGTGCACCTGGGCTCCCCGAGGGGCGCACCTGGGGTTGGGCTGGGGGAGGGGGCGGGGCGGCTGGGATCGGAATTCCTGGGTCTGGGGTCCGCGGAGGGTTGGGGTCTCCGCAGGGATGCCCAGCGCCCCGGAGCAGGGAGCTGAGTGAGCAAGGACGAGGCCCCGGGCCCCAGGGACTGGGGTGGGGGAGCTCAGCGAGGGGCTGCGGGTGGGGCCAGGGCGGCCCCCCACCCACGGGCGGGGGATGCGTGAACCCCAAGGTGCGCTGTCTCCTGTCTTCGCCCCACATTAAAGAGCAGGAAGTGGCTCCGGGGTGACAGGAGTCGGATCCTGCGTGACTCCTCCTCCTCCGCCCCTGCCCGGGGGCTCCCTGCCCAAGGTGGGAGGGACGCCGGGCACAGGTGCGGGGGTGGGGGTGGGGGGAGCCACCGCTCACCTGGCATAGGAGGAAGCCCCTCCCCTCCCCTCCTCCCTCCTCCCCTCCACTCCTCCC